GGCACCCGTCTGCAGGCTGCTCGGGCCTGTGCTCCCCAGGGCCTGGGCTGCCGGCTGCCTTGTGACTGGCAGTTCTGCTCTGGGAAGGTTGTCTGCCTCGTGTCACCCTCGGGTGGGTCTCGTCATGTCCACTTTACTTGGCTGGATCTAGTACCCGACCAGCTTGCTCAGGGCCACCTCAGTTGGCACCTGTGTCTCTGTAGTAGCCAGGGGAAGCACAACTCGGCATCCCAAGTCGAGGGCTGGCTGTCCCTGGATTCTCTAGCACCCGGCACTCTGCTCGTGGCCTCTCATGCCCGCCGGCTTCTGCACACTCCAAAGGCAAATGCGGGTGTGCTTAGGAGTGCTTGAGAGGGTCTTTTTGGCAACCTGGTTTTACTCTGGTTCATTTGTTTGGGAAAAAAAAAAGTAAGTATACACAAATACGTTATGGTTTAGGTTAAATAGACTTAACTTTTCTAAAATTTTAGTCTGTGAAGATTATTTCATTCTGTTAGGTTCTGCAAATTGGCGCAGCCTCCTGATGTGGGCAGCTACCTTTCCCACACTGGCCCTGCCCTCTGGCTAGCACTCTGCCATCCTGCGGCGTAACCTGGGTGATCGGCTGTCCTCGGTGATGGGCTGTTGATAGGAGTTTGTGCTCTGCTTCCTGCACAAGTCCAGAGCTTCTGGTGACGGTGCCGTGTGCCTCCTGTAACGCCTCCCTGTCTTCCAGGATTCCATGTCCTTCATGTACCAGGCCTTGGAGAGGAACCTGCGGACCGTGTTCATGGCCAGCTCTCAGGAGCCCCTGAAGCACATCTCCAGCCCCTTGGCATCGTACTTCACGTCCGTCCCCTACGCGAGGCTGGGCTGGTACGTTCGAGGCGGAGGAACTTGTGATGTTCCCACCGCCACTGGCTCATTCGCCATGTATCTTAAGTAGCTTCTGTTAGCACCTTATTTTCCCATCGATTCATCATCAGAAAAACACTGATTTAGTGGTTGAGCTATTGTAAGGATGAAGCAATCTCCTTAAAGTTGGTCAGGTATGTGTAAATATAAGAAACTTTCATTTTGCTAAGCAGTCACAACAAAATGTCCTTCAGAATATTTGCAAAGCTCCAATGATCTTGGAGATGCGTTGTCTGTGAGTGTATTTTGCAATCTCGAGGCATTAGGAGAGTGTATGCGGATAGCTCTAGTCATGATGTGACTATTGTGTCTTCATTGGTAGGAGGCTGGTGCACCTTGGTGATTTTAGAGAGATTGTCAGGGATTCCCTTGCTCTTAATATTCATCCCAAACTCAGCCCAAGGGATGGTTTTCTGGAAGATTTAGTGAAAAATTTTTAAGCCCCGTCCCTTAGGTCTGAATGACCTGGTGTTTTCTGGAAACACTTTTCCGGTGGTCCCTTTTTGGGCCACGGATGCTTCCCAACTAGCACAGGAGTCTGGGAGGTGCAGCGTCTCTGCCCTTGTGAACAGTGTCTCCTCTGCTGGCTCCCTAGGGGAGCCTCGGACGGCAGCCTGCCGGGCAGGTATGCTGCTGGGGCAGCTCCAGGGCCTCCGTGGTGTCCGCCCTGCCAGCAGGCGTCCAGCTCAGAAGCCACTCTGCCCGCTCTCAGTCCTGCTAGTCCTTTACCTGGCTGTAAGGACTGGAGTGACATTCGGTCTTTCCAGTACATGGGACTGTTGGTCCACCTCTGTAACCTGAGGTCACGAGTCCCACCGAGAAGCACCCATGCCACACACGGGGTACTGGCTTAACTTGTGGACAGTGCCCTGTGCGGCTGTGGTGCAGATGAACAGTTCAGCTCCTCTCGGAGTGGATGTCACTGAAGTGAGCTGAGCAGGTCAGCAGCGGCCTGTGTCCTGCCTGGAGGGACCGCAGTGCGGGGACAGGTGTCTCTGTGCAGAGGCAGGCCAGGTGGGGCCGGGGCTGCCTGGTTCTGCACACAGGCTCGGGTGCTTCCCGAGGCCACTTTTCATCTGCTCGGGTCACGTGGGCTGCAGACCCCAGAGGCCTCCATTTGGGCATTTTGTCTTGCTGTCCCCTTGAGAGTGACTGAATCCCTTCACTACTCGGGCTCTGAGGGGAAGGTCCCGGCAGTCGGGCAGGGTGGGAGAGCAGCGAGAGGAAGCTGAACCATCGGGCTCAGACAGAAGTGGGGGCAGTTGTACCTGCAGGGTGCATAGTGGCTCCTTCCTCTTCCCTAAGGGCCATGGCCTCTGCGGACCTCAACCAGGATGGGTACCGCGACCTTGTGGTGGGGGTACCCGGCTACAGCCGCCCCGGCCACTTCCAGCTTGGGCGTGTGTACCTCGTCTACGGCAACGACCTGGGTCTACCCCCCACTGACCTGGACCTGGACACGGAGGCCAGCGGGAGCCTGGAGGGCTTCCAGGTGAGACTCCGCCTTGTGTTTCCTGTTCAGGTGGTG